GGTTTGTAGCTGCCATGTGGGTGCTGGGAATCGAACCCAGGTCCTCTGCAAGAGCAGTGTTCTTAACCACTGAGCCATCTCTCCAGGCCGAATGTCTTTTACTTTCATGTGATTTAAAATTAGTTTGTTTCTTTGTACATTGCTCTTGCCACCTCTGAAACACTGTCATAGTCTTTCTTTAAGAGAAAAAATCTATTGCAGCACCATGGAACCTCCAACAATTATTCTATGTACTCTTATTGTACATCGGACATTCTTAAACTAAATGGTTTAGCTCTCTAATTACAAATTAAGATATTTGTAATACACACATATTAACTTTAATATTATTTGAATGTCATTGAATGTAATCTAACCACCAATAAGCAGCTTGTTTCTATGAGAAATCCTATTTAAAACTTGCTTCATTCTTTGAGAACAATTTTCAAAATGTATTTGGCCTGGCAGTAGTGAGTTGTATAGCGTTTATCTGCAAGAAGACATATTTCAGTAATTCAGCTCAGAAATGGAAATGCATGTATTTATTTACCAACTGACTTTTTAATTGTTAGGAGGCATGATGCTGTTGATTACTTTTCTGGGATTTCAAAGGGACACCTCATTGGTAATGGAATTTCAGAATACTAACCAGCAGCTTTCTTTCTTCCGCCTTTACATGTTTTCCCTTGAAGAACATACAGAGATTCGTCATTGATTAGAATATGCATAATACTCATTTGTATAAGAATTTCTAACTCATTTTCAAATACTCATCCCTTTGAGCTGATCTTGGATAAAGAACTAGATTGAAAAATTGAAATCAAAGTCTGTTGATGCATAAATGACTTGGATTTGTTGTGTCTACTTATCAGTTCAAGCAGCAAAGCAAATAAATAATTTACTTAAAACGCAAATTGAATTTTTCATCAGGTTGAACTCTCCTCACCCCAAATAGCTATGATCTACTGAAGACAAAAATAAAATTGAAAATAAAACTATCCATACTCTATAAAACTCTTAATGATGTCCCTTTTTATCCTTCTCTATTCTTATTCAATTATTTATTACTACTGATGTTAATGGCCCCTACATTGTAAAAAATAAAATTTTAGTAGGAAAATTTGTGGCTTTTCAGATTAAAGAGTAATTAAATAGTTCTTCTCTGGCAGCAGTTTTCCACAGCCCCAGCCACTGATCACCAGCACTTACAGGATTTCAGCTTTGAGGCTGGCTTCTCTAACCAGATTGCTTGTTTATCTATATTCATTAGATTTGCTCTAACTCTGTACTTCACTGTTTCAACCCTGCATCTGGCCTTGTCTTCTCCCTTGAGCTTCATGCTTGTGTGTTGAGATCCCTGGAGCCCCCTTGACACTGTAGCATTCATGGACTCCTTTTGACTTGGGCACCTTTGTCTGAAAAGCATCTACACATCCTTTCAGTTCCTCTCTTCAATCCCTGGGAGCATCCTGATGTCCTTTCTCCTTCATAGCTATTTGGCCACGTGCAGTATTCTAACTATACCACCTCCTGCCCTTTTCCTCAATGTCCTCCTCACCTTGTGCCCCTCCTTGTGTGCAAGTTGTTGGACTTGCTTGGGCTTTCTGTTTCCTTCTAATTATTCCTGGTTTGAAACTTCCCCTTTAGCTTGCTTCCCACACTGTTCTAAACTGTTTCCAAAGAAACAAAACTTTCTTTCCCACAGTACCCTGCCTTTTCCCACTTGCTCTCTAAAATGTAACTGCCCCATATTGTTTAAGGCATGAAATGACTTTGCTCTGTAAGGACATTACTAAGCCCAGCAGAGCTTCTGTATTATCTCTAGAATACCAAGATTCTGTACCTTGAGTTGCCTGACTTCAGTAGGTCTTGTGAATAATTTATTTTTCTTAGGAATATGTCCCCATAATTTTTACATTTAAACACAGCCTTCTTGTGAAAGATTTTTAGACATTTCTCACACGGAGGTAAGCTATGCTGAATGAGCTTGTAGTGTATTACAGTTTTTCCCCCAGGGTGGACCCAGACCTAGTTATGCTGATCTCATCTGCTGCTCCTCCTCCACAGACTAACCCAAGTGCTGTTGGGGCACAGCTGCACAAAGGTGTCTTGTACACTGGGAATTCATCCTTGCTATTCTCTCTAGGATCCTATGAACTTCTTGAAAACTGGTCCCAGTGTTACAAAGCTCTGTACACACAACCCCCAGCAGATCGGAGACATAGTGATAAGGGCTTGTTTCCTGAGCATGAGTGAATAAATGAGATTTTTCAGTTAGCATAATGTCTTTTATTTAAATTTCGATAGGCTTAAAATTAGGAATGGAGCAAGACACCTGGGTAATGATCTCTGAGCAGGGTGAGAAATTGTATAAAATGATGTGCAAACAAGGAAATCTCATCAAAGACAGAAAAAGAAAGCTGACTACATTCCCCAAGTGCTTCCTTGGAAGGTAAGCATGGTTTTCTGGGTGATTTTATTATTTATTTATTTATTTATTATTTGATTTTTTGTGTATGAGTGTTTTACACATTTGTGTGTGCAGCGCCCATGGAGGTCAGAAGAGGGTGTCGGATTCCCTGAACTGGAGTTACAGGTGGTTGATAGCAACCATGTCGGTGTGCAAGGCAGCCAGTGCTTTTAACTGCTGAGCCACCTCTCTAGCCCCTCATAAGATTAAATAGATGTTCTGTATGAGACACACAAAAATTCAATAAAACTACTATGTATATATTAAAAAAATTATTGTCCTAAGCATTTTTGAATACTTACTCATGATCCACATTTCCTGGGCCATAGAGATATGAGGAAATGGACAGAGAGCTAAGGTCATGACCAGTAACTTGAGATATTTGTTCCTCACCCTTAACCTCCACAGTTGCTGGTATGTCATGTTTTCAGGGAGAGACAGAGGTTGTGACCTGGCAAGGAGTATCAGGCAGGAAGTATGACTATTGGGAACAGGACAGTGGATATGGTGAGGAAATGTACGGGGTCTAGAGTCAGAGTTGACCGTGAATACAGTTAATGAGGGAACATTGGAGAGCAAACAGTCTCAACTACCATTTAGGCAGAATTCAGACAGCTGGGTTCAGGGTAAGAGTATAGGTAGATGAAGATTGTCATGTGAGGGGCTCAACACCAATGACTATATGTCACTCGGTTCTGCAGGAGGCTAAGTGGGATTCCCTGAATGGGAAAATGTTCTGTTTATGCCAGGTCTTCTTAGGCTGGGCTCTATGCTGGCTTCTTTCTGCATGTAACTTCGAATTCAGCAATATATGCTTAGGAGTTTAATTCCTATGTATTTATTTAAAGATGTAGAAACTATGGATCAGGGAGCTTAAGTTCAGAGTCATAACAATTGACTAAAGTTGGAGATCAAAGCTTAGACAGCAAGTAAATGTTCAAATGAAGGTGCTACTATTGGTTAATGAATGGTTTGGGAAAGTTGTTTGTGATTCTTCTTGATCTATGGAGATGATTGTAGTGTTTACTGACCTTGCCCTCCAGGATGTCCTTTAACTAACTACCAGATCATATAATATGGCTATATCTACTTCAACCCTGCCTTAGAAAACTGTAGGCCAGGAATCAGACTGCAGGTCAGAATTGGCTTTTTTCTCCAGAGGGAGTGATCCACACAGGGGTCTACCCTACTGCCTGCAGACATCAGTACAGCTGTGCATCTGTGCTCTGTCATAACCTACTATACCTCTTCTGCAAAGGAAAAGGAAGATCTGGTTCTTGGCATAGAAGCTCCATGTACCACAAGGATGTATCTTGTTAAAAATCCGTGGATATAACTTTGAGGGTCTCCATGATAATACACCCACTTGCAAGAGAGTCAGTATAAGTTATGGCTTCCCAACAGATAATATAAGCATACAATGTAGTCATTGAAGATTGTTTCTTTATTAGAGGTGGGTTTTTCTTTTTAAATAGAGTCCCATGTAATCTAGGCTGGTCTTGAATCCCCTATATAGAATGGGATGACCTTGAACTTCTGATCTTCCTGCCTCTACTTCCCAAGTGCTAGGATTACTGGTGTATACTCCCTGTCTTGTTTATATAGTGTTGGGGACTAAACCCAGAGTTACATAGATGCTAGGCAACACTCTACCAACTGGGCCACATCCCCAGCCCTGGAGGATCATTTTCCTATAGCACTGCTCACTCTGTATCTTCTTCAGGTAATCTAGGATTTAGGGAACAAAGCTAAGTTAGTTCAGGTCAGGTTTGATCTATTGCAGGTGTTGGGCTTTTCATGATCCTTTATCCAAGCTGTCTTTTATGGTTGCAGAGTAGTTGGTAGTGGTGATGAAAATTTCAATATTTCTCAATTCATCTGATGCATAGGATAGATAGACATAGTAAATGTTATCTGTGGTCTTTACATAACAGCCTGTGCTACTCCCTCATGGTCCAGAATTATGACTACCTTGATGAAGATTATTCAAGGAATCTTCCCCTTCCTTTAGTAACTCCCATGATAAAGCCACTCACGAACCTTTCCTATCCCTTTCTGATTTCAAAAAGATACTGCGCAATATTTAAATTGGCCTTTTGCTCATTTGCATTTGGTATTTAGAGGAAGTAGGTAAAATTTGAAAGAAGAATTAGGCTTTAGCTATCTATCAATCAACTCAACTCATTTGTCAACCACTCACCTGCTTTTAATAAGAGATCATTGCATGCCAGGCCCTGTGCTGAGTTCCTGCTGTGCCTCATTCCAAGTAGCCCTGTAATAGCCCTGAAACAGTACTGTGACTGAAAAATTCCTATTGTTATTACTGTGTTACTGATGAAAACATTCAGCCTGTGAAAGAGGTCATACTGCCAATGGAAGAAGAAATCATGGGCTTTGTAGCTAGAGATTGCATCGCAATCCCCTAATTTCACTCAGTACGTGTTATTTTACATTTCTAAGTCCTTTCTCTTTTTGTCTTCTTAAATTATTTTGTTTCTTTTGTATAATCCTTTTTTTTTAAAAAAAGTTTTAATCATTTTTATTTTGGTGTGTGAGAGTGTTGTCTGGATGTATGGAAGTGAACCCATGTTGTGCATTGCCCATGGAGGTCAGAAGAGGGTGTCAGACCCCCTGGAACTGTAGTTACAGATGGTTGTTAGCCACCATATGGGTGCTGGGAATTGAACCTGGGTCCTCCGCAAGAACAACCAGTGCTCTTAACTGCTAAGTCAACTGTCTAGCCCCTCTTTTGTATAATTCTTATTTAATGAAAGAATAAAAAGCCCTCTACTGATTTTCCTGCCCTAAAGCATATCTCTTAGACTAGACAACCCATTTTGAGAATTTTGTATCACTTGATTATTTGATATTAGGCATTTTTTTAACCTATGGAATAAACAAAAAACAAATTTAGTGTGTTTTATTTATAAAGGGTATGAATTTATTGAGTATTTATCTCAGTGATGCCCATGACTATATGCTTTGCAGGGGTGGGGGCATCAGCTTTTAATCAAAATATTCATTTTGGGTAATGAGGGGCCTCCATAAGTGCAGTTATTTAGTGAGCGAAGTTTAGGAGAGTCTTAGTATATGCCCATGGGGTTTCTAGGATAGAATCCAAATTCTATGAGTGTGGGCCTTACATAGGTGAAAAAAATATCTGCTGGAATTCCTGAAAATGTCACTCAGAATGTTTACGATTCCTTTCATAGCTGCTTTGTGGTCCAGACAGCTTCCCGGGAAAGATTAATCATTTTCCGTTTTCACTGGCTTTCTATTGCAGTGAATTTGTGTCATGGCTGTTGGAAATTGGAGAGATTCACAGGCCAGAAGAAGGTCTTCACTTGGGACAGGCATTATTAGAAAACGGGATCATACACCATGGTAATTATTTCATTAATGGATTCATGAATAGTCTGTGTCTGAGTCCTACTGGTCAGATTTATTTATAATTCTCCACATTATATTTATATTAGCATTTCAGTTCCTAATATGCAAGAATGCCTCATGGGGGCAGTAGCATTAGTGCTGGGCATTGTAGAATGAACAGAACTCAAAAGGGCTGAAGGGTGCTCCTCCCTCAGGAAACGATAGTATTCAGGTACAGTATGAGAAATGTTCCTGGTGGCCTCTTCAGGAATTGGCATGGACTTTCGTAGAACTCTGCTGTGAGCTCCATGCATTAATGTCCTTGGAGGGATATATGGTGACAAAGGTGGTCAGATACCTGACTCCAGTAGCTGACCCTGGCTGTGTTCAGAAGGTCACAAACAGGCACATTCAGCAAGAAGTTGAAAGGACTCACACTCGAGGTAGAAATAATGGGAGAGAGACTTACTTGGGAACCATTTCTAGAGAGTGCCCCATCCTTGGACACTGGCAAAAAACACCCAGACAAGGAGGGAGTAGTGATGACACTAAGGTTAAAAGCTGGAAGAATTTCTAATGCTAATGTGAAATTGGTGAAGGAGATAAAGATACAGAACTATGATTTCTATCAATATTCTTCCACCTAAGGGAGATAGGGGGTTAGAGGAGCATCTGAGAGAAGATGGGGAGGGGTCTGAATTTGATCAAATACTCTGTATGAAGTTCTCAAAGAATCAATAAAAATATTATTTGAAAAATAGTCTTCCATTTATTAGAATTTGATTTTAGTGGACTAGGCTTATCCTGCAATCGAGATTTGATCAGGGGTAAAGTCACATTTGGCAAATAACATTTTTATGAGAAGAAACCTGTTTTGAAACTGTCTCGGAGATCCTCAAACTAAGGTTAAGGGATCGTATTATGCAATATCATATTAAGAGTAATTCTATTAGAATGAGGAGATATGAGCCAGATTACTAGTTACTGAGTATGTGGTCCCAGCTGCATCTTTGTGCAAACAGAATTCCTAAAATAAAGTTGAATGAGCCATCTGTTTAAAAGACAGCAAGCAAAAATAAAAATAAAAAAGCAAAAGAAAGAAAAATAAATTGCTATTGCTATTATTCACATTGCATATATTGTTGAAAACTTAGAGACAATACTTTATTGTATTACAGATCATTGGATTGGGACAAAATGTGCTTTCTCTGTGACAGGCCAATATTCATCTTGTCTAACTCTGCTAATTCACAGCAGATATGCTGATGTGAGATTTCAGAGCCCTCATTTAGTATATCCTGAAGCATGCTAAAGTTTGTTAATAAGCTTTTAAGACCTGGTAATTAAGTTTAAAAAAATTTGCAAGCTACTTGAATGTTAAGCACAATTATTATTAACATTGAAATTGCATAGATGTATGCATGAATTATATAAATTAAACAATAAGCAAGGATAATATGCTCTTGAAACTTGGCATTTCCTAATTATTTCATAGCTGCATTTTTTTTTTGTAGCCTATGCCCCTGAGGTCATGTGTGTTGGGAATACTTTGTAATGGTGTCTACTGTATAGTGAAATCCATGTTCAGTAATATTTAGTGGGTGGCTTGAAATTGGCCAGAAATGGGTAAACCACACACTGGCATTCCTTCTTCCACACTTGTCCGGAGGTGAGATATGGAAAAATCAGAGACCAATAGCCAAAGTCAGGTGAGGAGAGGAAGTTTAATTTTATGCTAGCTGACTGACCCATGGATCCTTCTGTAAGGCAATCAGTAGTCCCTTCCAGTTTTGGGGGGCTTTTATATTCTTGTGAGGAATGCAAGCAAAAGGTACATAGCATATACATGGTAATTAAGTAAGGTAACAGAGGGCCACAAAGGTAACAGAAATGCAAAGGTTACCAGAATGTGATAGCTTTGGAAAGCAAAGACTTCTATCCCAGGCAACCATAGGGGGCACAGAGGAAGACTCCTGTTTACCACTCCCATTTCTATTTCTTGTCTCGGAGCGTTTCCTGCTCCAAAGTTCTTAATTACCATCAAATTCCAAGAGCTTTTACCATCCATTTAATGAGCTCTTCTACTTCCATTATACGCACACCTTCTAGAAAGTCGTGGTTATTGTACATTTCTTTTTCTGTCGTAGATTTGTCTAAAAGGCTTTATTAGGCATCTTTTCTTACAAGGTGACTAGAGCTATGGTTGGTTAGTAAATCCATTTTCCTGTTAGTAGATTGAATACAAACCTGTTCTGTTGTTGAATAGCATCAAGGCAACATCTAAGATTTGTAGATTAACCCAAGGTTATGAAGAGTCAAGTCTCCAAAGTCCCTTACAGTTAGCACTGCCTTTTGAGTATCTCAAACTATCACTTGCTTTATTGTACCAAGAGACTTGGGCCCAAAGTTTCCTTGAGAATCAAGAGAATTTATTTCAATAAATATTAGAGTAAAATGGATATAGGTTGATTGCATAAGAGAACTAAATTGATGATCTTGAAGTATATCATAGAATTTAAAAATATTGCTTTTTATTTTATTTTTGCACACATACTTTTTCTTTATGGGTTAGCTTCTGGGGAAAAAAGTTGCCAAAATGCTGAATTTCTTTCTCCAAAATTAATCTTGACTCAATTTTATGTCCTTATGCCATGTGCTAGGTTTGCATGGATTGAATTAAAAAGTCAAAATTTCATGTGTCTCTGTGTGTATGCATGCATGCATGTATCTGTGTGTATGTGTTAATAAATCTTTTGATATTCTTCTGGATTCACCAAATGTAGCTAATTCTGATAGTATTGTCTCTCCTTTCAACATTTCTAGTATAAAGGCTAGAAATAGTTTTCTGTCTACTTATGAAAACAAAGCTCATTGTAGCAAAGTCCCTCTTTTGAGTTTTCTTTATAGAAAATATTTAAATAGAAAAATAAGCTTCATTTTAAAGCTTTTCTTTCCCAGAGTAGTCCCTTTCTGTTAAATTGTATACAAACCTACGTAAGAACCTTTTCACACGGTCTTATTTTGAGAAATAACCATTGTCAATGTCAAAACACAACTCTCAAAGCGAAGAGGGTAGGCGCATTTATTCTGGAGCCAAATATGCCTCAGATGCCATCTGATGACACTCAGAGGTTTGGTTTGTGGATTCTAGGGTTTTTCTAAGTTAGCACATCCCAAAAAGCTTTTATCTGTTAGTCACAGGATGCTAGAGCCAACACAAAGGTGAGCAAAGGATAGCTATTTAGTGAACAAAAGATAGCCCAAGATAAACTATAATTAGTCTCTGCCACATTCCAAACTCTCCACAGTCACTGAAGTCCTAATCAGTTAATCAGCCTTACAGAAGGTTCAATTTGAAGATGAAGGTTTTTTTTCTGGGAATCTTCCTTCACAATTCCCCCTGTTGGCTAAACGTCATATTTTGTGTATGCAGAGGCCATATATTATTTATTAAACACTGGAATATAGTGTCTCCTGTAGCAAGGAAGGCTCATTCCTAGGATCTGATTTAGATGGGGCTGGGTAGTTGGCAGGGCAACAGTCTTCAAGAGAGAGAAATAGCTGGTAAAGGCATTAAGGAAAAACATCTGGATCATATCAAAACTATTAGCCTTCATGTCCAGACCCAACTTTTCTTCTCTGTCATCCCATTTCTGATATAACATTTACATGTGACATATAATAGAATTATTATACTTAAAACAATCAAGAATACTTTGGCGTGATGGAATGAAGATAATAGATGAAGGAAACACATTTTAAACTACCAAAATTTACTACTACCAAATTGACTATATGGTTCCCTCTATAAACTTTATGAACTATACATGTTTTATAATGGGAGAATTTAAACAAATGTATTACCTTCTTTTTTGTGGGGGTGTTTGAGAGAAGATCTCCCTATGTATCCCCAACCTGCCTAGAACTCACTATGTAGATCATCCCAGGTTGGCCTCGATCACACATCTATTATCTTTTTTAATTTTTGCTTTTCTTCTGGCCAGCTATATTTTATAGATATAATCTCATGCGTGATTACTAGCTCTAACTCTAGGAAATCTAGGAATGATTGAACTTCAATATTTAAACTATCCTAGCTCTTATCTGTAGATAATCACTTGATTTGTTTTACTATACTGGTTTTATTCCATATTTATTTGGAAAAGTAAATGGAAAGCCACATCGTAGAAGAAATTAGAAAACAATATAGTATTCCGTTAAGCTTTCTTTTAACAAGGCCGTCATCCTTCATGTATCAAATATTAGTGACAATGATAGAAACAAGAGAGCAGATCTATTAGAAATGAGAATTTTGTAGCCCTTGTGGGCATAACCAAATCTTTTTTTATTCTTTTAATGGCTAGAAATGGAAACGGGACTTTAGAAGGCATCGCCGTAGTATTTTTCCATTTCCTTTTTATAAGCAAAATACAAATACTGTTTAACTCATTTTAAAAATCCAGTCTAACTATACTATAGAACACTTTAGATACACATTTAATCAGTAAACACTAGTACTTAAAGTATAAGACATCATGAATGTTATTAGAGATTGATGCTTTTTGCATAACTTGGATAGTAAGAGTTAACCCACATCTTTCAAGTATCTCTAACTAGAGTAAATGGGAGTGAAGTTACTTTGTTAAACATCTGAGCATGTGATAGGACCTTTATCAATGTTGATTTTGTTTCTTATTTACATTTTTAACATCAATATAAACAGTAATATTTTTAATAGGAAATAGTAGTCTATTTGTTTTGACTATATGAATTTGGATTTAAAATATAGATACCATGAAAATAAGTTACTTTTGGAAGATTTTAGGTTTTTGTGAATTTAAAAACTAGGTTTCTTTTATACAAGTTATACTGAATAATGAGAAAAAATGTTTTTCAGAGACAGTGAAAACACTTGAATCTTTAAACATAAAAACTAGATTTAAGTTTTATTAGAGATGGCTCAGTGGTTAAGAACTTGGGTTCCCAGCACCCACATGGCATCTAACAGCTGTTCA